TAGTGTAATCCTTCAGTCAAAGACCAACTGAATCAGAAATACACTACAGTCCTTTTCCAAGTGGGGTCTCACTGCCAGTCTAGACTGTGAACGAATAGTTTAGTCTTATAAGAAACTGATAGGTGATCTTTCTGTTCGAAACTCTTCGAACCACACTACCTCAATATAAGACATGGAGTATGTATTGCATAAATAAATAAACTGCAAACATATGTACTTTGACCGAAACATGATTGCCAGATCAAAATGGAATTGATAGAAACTGCAAAACAAAGCTTTTACAACATACCTCTAACAGGTACTCAATTCAGTGGCAAGCGGATTCGAGCATGGTGTGAGGACATGAAGATCGAGCAACACTTTGCCTCTGTCGCTCATCCGTAAGCCAATGGCCAGGTCGAGGTGACCAACTTAATTATACTAAAGGGGCTGAAAACGAGGTTGGAGAAGGCCTCGGGGGCGTGGGTTGACGAGTTAACTTTAGTACTTTGGGCATACCGCACAACCCCGAGGTCGACAACAGGAGAAACTCCCTTCAGTTTAGTCTATAGGATGGAAGCACTGCTGCCAGTTGAGGTCGAGTTATCATCGCAAAGGTCGAGCACTTATGACCCGAGGCAAAACGAAGAGTTAATGATGGCAGCATTAGACACTATTGAGGAGCTGCGCGAAAGAGCAATAATTAGAGTGGAGGCATACAAGAAAAGGATGCGAGCCGCTCATGACAAGAAAGTGAAAGTTCGCAGGCTTCAAGTAGGCGACCTGGTTTGGAAACGTGTCGATGTGCTCAAACATGTGGGAAAGCTAGAGCCAAACTGGGAGGGACCATACCTGGTCGAGCGAGTGCACGCAGGAGGAGCGTACTCGCTGAAGGACGCAGAAGGCCGATCACTTGCTAGGTCATGGAACATAGCTAATTTTAAAAAATATTATGTGTAAAATTTTTGTTTTTCAAAGAGAGTTGGGGAATTTGAACAAAGATGTAAATTACAAAGTTTGCTTAAAGAAGCTAATGAAATTTAGTTATCCTTCTGTATTACTTGCTTTATTGCACATTTTCTTATGCTTGGAATGTTGGTATGATTTGGATGACATGATGCATATGGTGTGGTTTAACTTGGAGGTCGCTTCTTTAGAACATCCCTTGGGTGAGCAGGTTGGTCGATTACTCACGCCCTCGGGCTGGGTGACCTCCTGTTTGGAACATTCCTCACGGGTGGGCAAGTGTGAAGACCAAAACCCTCCATGACTAAGGCCCTCGGGCTGGGTGGTCGCTTGTTTAGAACATCCCTTGGGGTGGGCAGGTTGGTCGATAGCTCACGCCCTCGGGCTGGGTGACCTCCTGTTTTGGAACATTCCTCGCGGGTGGGCAAGTGTGAAGACCAAAACCCACCATGACTAAGGCC